GTGTCCCTCTGACCAGGACATCGTGACTCAGGGAAAGGAAAGCAGAGGAGAGGATCCTCATAGGGGCACGAGGGCACGCAGGCCTCAGCCGCCTCCTTTCCTCCCAGTCACCGTCTTGGTTTGTGACCTCTACACCTTCTTACCATAACAACAAGTTAATGACACAGCGGTCTGGTCTGAATCTATTTCCTAAACAACACAACTCCAATGTGAAAAGAACTGCTTTAGTGGACGTTAACCACAGCGATTCGGGTTGATGCTGTGCGGCGTTGTGCCGTTCGGCGGCGCAGACATTTGCATGCGTCTACTTCCTCCTTACTCCAACATGAGTGGAAGTAGGAGCGCCCATCATCCTTCCAAGATGACATTTTTCAGCTTGGCTTTCTTCTAAGAAGCTCAAAACGAATAAAACAAAAAATGGAGATTGGAATGAACAAGTTCATTTTGTGCATGGAGTATTTTGGTGTTGGGATGATTTATAATTCCTTTGCGTTTGTATCCTTTTATTGATGGATGGATGTTCATGTAGGTTTATTCTAATCTTTAATTTTGACTGTGTTTATGTCTGTTTGTTATGGCTTGCTTCTGGTATAGTAAAATCAGTATTATTTAATATTAGAAACACTCAGTGAATGCTGAAACAAACAAAAGCTATTTATTGATATCTTAGCACTTTAATGCGTCTTATCAATACACTGTTGCACAACCGGCCATTTAGGAACATTCAGATTGTTGACACAGCCCAGAATGAAAATTAGTTTGACGGTCAGAAAATAAAACATGCAAATGAGGTAAGATGACATTTGTTAGGTCTTTGTAAACATATTTCTGCAACAGGCTTGTTGAAGATGTTCCAGTTTGGATTGTCATCATCACTCCTCAAACATCTCTCATTCACCTGCAGCTCTGGATCAGCTGATCCCTGACGGAAAATCTCTCCGCTGACAGCTCAGCGGGCCACGCCCAGAGCTCCAGCTGACGGCGCTGACATTGTTTATTTAAGGCGAGGCCTCACAGAGAGATGGAGAGAGGAAGAGGGTGGCACTTTGCCTAGCCTGCTCAGAGATGAAGTGGATATTTGTAGAGCTATGGTTAATCATTTAAGTCGGCTAAAAAAAAAAAAAGAACATTTTAAGCTATTTGTCGCTTTTGTTTTCATTGTGTATCATGAGTTTTTGTAAACTTGTTCAGAACTGGCGTAATCTGTTGGGTTTTTTGGTAATAAACCCATTTCCAGTCACACTCAGTCGTCTTCTATCTGCATTCTTTTGCTGTGAGAAGTTTGTGTGGGCCAGGAGTTACTGTGTCACCTGTTCCCAAAGCACTGACTAACCAGCGCAGGGGATTATTAGTGAGATTAAAGTTCAAGTAGTCAATGGTCCAGGGGTGTTTGAACATTTCCCAACCCTCAGACGGGGTCAGAGTCCAAGGATTGAAGGAGGAGCGGCGGTGGTGGCATCAGTAGCAGGAAAGGCAAACAACCCGCTCTGCTCTGCTCCCCGAGGCTGCAGAGTTTCTGATAGCTGATCAATACGTGCAGTCATGTGGAAAAGTGAAAGACATGCTCCCATACTTGATGTCTAATCTCTCAATGAGCTTAGCCTAGCTTATTTCTCTGCCTCAGTTTTTTGGTTTTATTTAATATTTAACTACTTCACACCAAACTAAAACTGCCTACTTCTACTAATATTCGCCAAATCATTTTTGTACAGCTGCTTTCCCGACAATTAGGGATGCACCGGTGTGAAAATGTCGGCAGACATCGATATCTGATATAGATATTGCTGCTATGGCCGATGAACGATATTTACCGACGTATCTATTTCATTACCTTTTTGAAACCTTAAAAAACGAGCACTTTCATTCATTCAACCATTATTTAATCAGGAAACCTATTAAGAACGAGTTCTTATTTACAATAACGACCTAACAGGGAAGGGAAACACGCTGTTGAGTGGCTTCACTCTACAACGTGGAGCGAAGCCGCGTCGTAGACTTCACTCCCCGGTGCTACATCACCATCACATGACCAAACAAACACCACATGACCAAGCTCTTCTTCCGACTCTGAAAAAACAAACGGCAACAAGAAGAAAGTAAACATTGGTTGTTGATATCGGCCCAGTTTCATCCATCCAACTGATAAGATATGCTAAAAAATTACTAATATCGGCTGATACCGACGATACCGATGTTAGCCACGATGTATTGTGCATCCCTGCAGTTTGCAGAGTTTTCCTTTCAATATGGGAGGTTTCTGTGCCTCCAGTTTCAGTCTTGCTGTGGAGTCTGTGGGGGATCGCAGCGTTTGTATAAATCGTCCATGTTAATCCAAAACCAGTCCAAACTGAGCAATTCAGTGCTCTGAAGTTTATTACTTACTGTGCACAAAATATCAGTGTTTCAAAGAACTGTCTGAACTGGTGCACAATGCCAGTAATATGTAGTTGGTGATACTAGCTGCCTAAAAGGCATGGAGGTTACTTTTCTAGTAAAGTAATTAAGAAACTAAAACAAAATTGTTTCACTGGTAAAACAAGAGATGCATGTAAATGTAACTTTTTTTTTTGGTTGAGATGGAATTAAACATATTTTCTTTTCCCCCTTAGCCAGCTCGCCAAAAACTACATTTCTCGTTATTTCTCTCACCCTATTTTGAGGTAACATTTCCAGCAGCATTGTTTAAAAGCCACGCTTTCCCCGAGGTCGTTTTTTTTTTTTTTTGTCTTGTTTTCTCTTCCTCTTTCCCCTTGGAGGCTTTATGTCTACGTTTCAAAGCCGTCAGCAGAGCCAGTCTGGAAGAAATGAGGAAAAACCTGAGGGTAAATGATTGAACATGTGCAGGAGGTGTTAACTAGCTGCACAGAGACAATCAGGGGGCAGCAGATGATGATATTTACTTTCATCACAGAGCCACAGTCATTCAGTTATGTTTTGTTTCTGTCTGTGTAACTCGCTCCGTTTTCCTTCCCTACATTGCCTTTTTCTTTTTTTTTTTTGTCACCCTCTGCTTGAAGATTTTCCTCTTAAACGGTGTTGCTTCATCAAGCAAGCCAGGAAAGGAGGAATCTTATGGAAAACATACCCATCTGAGGATTTCTTCCTCCAGCTGCTGCTCCTCTGAGACACTGTCTACTCCAGAAAGACAGCTGTCCCTCACCGTTATGACCGTAACAGAAAAGACGTCCAGAGGAGGACCGACGCTTGTTTACCTTTGAAAAAATATTTGCTTTTTGACATTTTAAATGCTGACATAGTTTTGTCCAATGCTCCAGTGGTCAGAGTTGATTGGAAAGATGGCTGGAGGTAAAAATCATGCAAGCCTGTTAGGAGACTTGAGTCGGCTGCAGAGGTTCACCTTCCTGCATGCAGCCACGCTAAGAGCCAGAGCTAGAAACGTTTCAGATCAAAGAGTCTGTATATGTTACATGACACATACAGTATATATATATATGTATACATGCGCATAAATACATTGATGGAAACAAAAACGGCTCGTTTCCAAGGCACCCAAAAACATTAATTTATTGCAAAGAAAACATCAGGGTGATTTTATTTGTTTGTTTCACCTTTTTTTTTGCACTTTTAGAAGTGATGGAAGTAGAAAAATGTGCAAAGAGAAAATTTTAATGAAGCTTTTTCCTGTTTCCGTAATTTAGTTTGGTTCTTCTGATTGATGATGAAGAGAAGATTGTAACAACTTCTGAGCCTGACGAACGATGTAAGCGTCGTTGAAGCTGGCTGTCAGTGTCTTCACGCAGGAAGCATTTAAAAACCTCCTTCCGCAGCTATATTTTATAAAAACAGAGTAGAGGTGGATCTTTGCTCTGAGTTGGCTAAATAAATAATTGATCAGTATTTCCTGACCTGAGATCAGTTTTCTGTTGCAGAAACTGGTCTCCTAGCAAACCTGTGGGCCGAGAAAAGCAAAGAGCCACACCTTCCATCATGTGACAGCGTTTTCTGTGTGTGTCTGTGCAGGAGTGGATGTGTGTGTAAACAATAACATGGCTGTGTGTGCGTGTGTGTGTCTCCTTGTTTCACCGCCCTTTGCATATGCCTCTAGATAAGTGATAGAGAGAGAGATAGAGAGAGAGAGAGAGAGCTGCCCCCACCTGACTTTATGAGAACTGTGTGCAGTCCAAACATTTCCATAAGCCAGCTCTCACACGGAAACGGAGGAGGAAGTCACGCAGAGGGACAAAGACTGGGAGATCAGCTGAGTGTGTGACATTCAGAGGGAGGCTGTGTGTGAAAGTGACAGAAACGACACTGAACCTCAGTTGGACTATCAAAAACACACCTGGAACTTACTGCATACGGAGCCAGATATAAAATATGCTGTAGAAATGACACATAGTCCTTTTTTTTTATTAAATCAGACAAAAAAGTGACAAAAAAATGTGTTTTTGGTCTCTTTATTTCTATATGTTAAATAATAATCTGAAAAAGTAGTTCTTACTTTCCTAAAATGTAGAAATTTTCATACATAATCATTACGTTTGAATCATTTTATCAGACCATAGCACATCCTTAACCTATTTAAAGGGGCAGTTTTCTGTATTTTGGAGGAACATAATGCCATTTTATAGCATAATCAAGTAACTATGTTGCCTTCAGTTGTTATAAATATGTTGTGTATATCAAGTATGACTTTAAAGAAGTTAGACTTCTTAATTTAACGCCTTGGGGTTGGGCCTCTGATTTTGTTTTTTTCTGAGGTCTGTACACTCATTTGGCAGCAAAATGCGTCCATCTCTGGGACAAAGAACCCGTCCGCTTGCAGAACGTTATATTTTCAGGCATTTGTAGAAATGCAGAGATAAATAAACACATAGTACACATAACTAGTAAAGTTGTTGTATTCTGGTTTACTCACTCATTTTTTTAAGTCTCTTGTTATTATTTCAATACTTTTTTTAAAGCAGGAGAGAAAAATCTTTCTGTGGTATGAACTAATAAAACCAAACGGCTCATTTAATCTGTCTCCTCTTCCTCAGTCCTCATCCTGCAGCCGGTGCAGCGGGACGACCTGAGTGGGAAAACCCTGAAGATCACAGACTTCGGTCTGGCCAGAGAGTGGCACCAGACCACCAAGATGAGTGCAGCGGGAACTTACGCCTGGATGGCGCCGGAGGTCATCAAGCATTCTCTGTTCTCCAAGAGCAGCGACGTGTGGAGGTATCACTGTCCGTCCATCTGTCCACCATGTCTACAGGATTTGCAGCAGTGTGTGAAAATGTTTCCCCTTGGAATAGTTTTCAGTGTGGTGTTTGGAAAACCGCAAACTGCGTCCTCCCTCTTCACCGTTATGCGCCGCTTTGTGTTCAGAACCCCCATAAAATACCAATAAAATAAACTCAAAGTTCAGGAGACATGAAAAGTCACAGCAAGCTGTCGTACTTATGTTAAAACCGTCACTGACGGCTTCTCTCTCTCTCTCGTTTTGCAGTTTTGGCGTGCTGCTGTGGGAGCTGCTGACCGGAGAAGTTCCTTACCGGGAGATCGACGCTCTGGCGGTAGCTTACGGCGTCGCCATGAACAAGCTGACACTCCCCATCCCTTCAACCTGCCCTGAACCTTTTGTTGTGCTGCTGAGAGGTAAGCAGGCGCTGCGGGAACAGAGGGCGACCCCCCGGCCTGGAAAAATGTCACAACGACAGCTGGCTGTGAACAAGTAAAACCCAAACATGCGGAGAGCATTGTTGCAGATGTACACCGTTTCTGTTTGCGGCAAGAGCTTGTGGCTGTGGTTTTCCTTCACACCAGTCATCCAACCTGACCTTTAGGGCGCATTCACACCAACTGTGTTTAGTTCTAATCAAACTCCAGTTTGTTTGTCTGGAAAGTCCGGTTCATTTGGTGAGGTGTGAACGCGTAGACCGAAAAAGTGAGCTCTTGTCCGCTTAAAAGCCCAGGTCTCGTTTCAGGTAAATAAACTGAATGGGAGTCCGCTCCAAAAGCAGCAAGTCCACTAAAATGCAGGGCATTCTGGGTAAATACAACCAAAAAACAAATTCAAGAGTCTGGAGTTACTGGGAGAAATGGTCCTTTACCAGAGAAGAGATAATAGAAATCCTACAACTGTTACAATCTGATGTTTACATTTTGTGAAGAAGGAAGTTGAACTATAGTGGTTCTTGGTGCAGCGCCACCACAGGTGAGGAGGGGAACAGATTTGTTCCAATTAGTTTGTATTGTTTGCGAAAGCGAACCTCACCAGCTGAAAATGTAGCAAATGTTGTAATTTTGATCCCCAATCGAACCAAACCTAGCAGACTACCAGACTATGAAAACGCACTAACATGCCGTCTGTGATGTAGAAAAACCATGACTTGATTGTCCTGGAGGCCTTGGAGCTTGCAGCTGGTAAATCTACAGCAGGTTTTGTTGCATTACGCAGGAGCTGAGGATAAGCGTTAGCGTTAGTCTCTCTGTGTCTGGGTCTTGCTCCTTGAAGCCTTTGTGGAGCATCGGCTGGCTCTTGTTTCACAGTTCAGCTCATCCCTGCTTAAATACTCACCTGCAGGACACACTTGACCTGAGGTGCTCTATCTTAAGCACAGGTGAGGAGGTTTGAGGACAGGTTGTAAATCTAATAGAGAAAAAGAGTAGTTTCTCTTAAAGCCTCTGCTCTTTGCTCTTCTTCATCTGATCCATGCTCATCCTTTTATCCCTCTCCTGTTCATCGTGTCTCCTGCCTCCTTCTCCCTACGTCAACATGCATTTAATGCTGGTTTATTTCTTCAAACGAGAACCAGCTGCTATTTTTTCATTTTATTTGAAGCTTTACTTGTTAGAAACTGCTCTTCATTAGAAACATGCAGCAGATGTTCATGCTGTTGCGTTGGACTGATCAGTTTGTGGATCGGTGTTCATTGTAGGTATGCAGCATGTTGTCTGTAACTCTGTCAGTCAGGGTTCTGACTCACGGTAGTCGCCATATGCTGCCACCATCTTGCTGCCTTCCCCTTCCCTGTCGTCTGCTGCGACTGCCAGGAATGAAGGACCTAACCAGTCCAACAATCCCACCGCTCTGTGTTTGTGCATTGTATTGACAGCTGAGCAGCGTAACGGGGTGTCTAAACACGGTTTTGATTTTGCTTGGTTTACTGCTCAGCGCTTCACTAACGAGCGATGACATTTTTGTTTGCCGTTTTACCGTAAACATGTACATTTAGAGCGCAAATGAGATGGAAAAACACTGGTTTCTTCTATATTTTTTTGGCATAAATCATATTTTGCCAATAATGCGGTGATTATTTTGCAAAATAGTAGAAATGGAGGACATAGGCCATTATTTTAGGAAGGTAACAATATATACTGGTATATAAAAAAATAACAGAAAATGAATTAAAACAAAACTCATGTCTACCAGTCCACAAGTAAAGATTACATTACTAAATGTACAAACTAAACAATTATTTTGCTGCTTAAAATGAGCAGGATTATGAATGTTTCTGGTGTCTATTTAGATATTACAAGAACATTGTAAACATTTTAAAGAAGCAGAACATCATCAGCGGTCATAAAGCACATTAGTGGCATTTAATCTGAAATGGTTAAATAAATAAAGCTGCCACATCAGATGGCAGCAGCTCCTCTCACTCCTTCCTGCCGTCTCTCCCCGTCAGAGTGCTGGAGCTCCAACCCCCGCGCCAGGCCTTCCTTCACCAGCATCCTGTGGCGCCTGCAGGCCATCGAACAGTCCTCCATGTTCCAGATGCCTCCAGAGTCCTTCCACTCGCTGCAGGAGGACTGGAGGCTGGAGATCCAGCAGATGTTTGACGAGCTCCGGGCCAAGGAGAAGGTGAGGACGGTGAAACCGGAGCATTTACTCAGTCACATTAACGTGAGAAATGGACTTTTGGGAGTATTCGTGCTCCACCGTAGTTTCTTCTTTTACTTACCATGGAACATCTCTGCTCTTACTTGAGTAAAACATGTTGAAGTATTGGAACTCTTTCAGTTGAGTGCAGTTTTTGGATACCGTTGCTTGAGCCCGACGCCGGGAAGCATCTCACAGTCGGTCTGAAGTGTTTCTGCACGTCAGGAATAGCTCGGCAACCCAGAGGTGTTAAATCAGGTTGCTGCTTTGCTACACTCATTCCCTCCACCTCCGTTTCTTCCCCCCTCTCCGGTCTGCAGGAGCTGAGGTCGTGGGAGGAGGCGTTGGCCCGGGCGGCCGAGGAGCAGAAGGAGCAGGAGGAGCAGCTGAAGAGGAGGGAGCAGGAGCTGGCGGAGAGGGAGTTCGACATCGTGGAGCGGGAGTTGAACATCATCATCCACCAGATGTACCAGGAGAAGCCCAGAGTGAAGAAGAGGAACGGCCACTTCAAGAAGAGCAGGCTGAAGCTGGGCAGGGACAGCAACTGCATCAGTCTGCCCTCTGGTGGGTGGAGATGAGAACTGCAGCCTGGGTCTTCTTGTTACAGCAGGGCTGAGCAATACGGCTTTAAAATAAAATATTGAATTTTTTCCAACCAGATCTGCTTTTAATCAATTAAAAAAAAAGTCAAATGATAGAAAATATTTTCTAAAAGTGTGTTTTACGTGCTTAATCCCCTCTGTGAATTGGTCGATTGTGTATTAGGGCCAGCCTGCAAACATTTTTATTCAAACATGAGAAGATAGTCATAAGATTAACAAAATAAAGACATAATTTTGCATGAAGAAACTCTTAGTCATTAGAACGAAAGTTATTTTAATGAGAAAAGGATCTAACGTGACCATTAGAACCTCTTTATTTACAAAAAGGAAATAAACATAGTTGTTGCTCAATCATTCTCAAGTCCTCCTGCTGTTTCTAATTTGATGCTCATGTGTTAAGAGATTAATTATTTCCTTATCTGTAAAACCGATACAAAACCAACTATTTTATTTTATTTTTATTTTATTTTATTTCTTTGGGTAGTAATTTTCAGAAATTATTACTTCATTCTCCTAATATACCAACTTTATTCTCATATTATTTCGACTTTATAATGAAACAACTTCATGATAATATGATCATATTATCAAGTTTTGCCAAAGTTTTTCCAGCTTCATGTTTGGTTTTAAACTTCAGTGGTTGTTTGAAAGGGTAAACCTCGAGGCATCTCTCTCTCTTTCTCTCTCTCTCTCTCTCTCTCTCTCTCTCTCTCTGCAGGTTTTGAGCACAAGATCACAGTGCAGGCGTCCCCCAGCGTGGACAAGAGGAAGAACCAGGGCAGTGAGAGCACCACGCCGCCCGCCAGTCCGGGGGTCTTGCTCCGCCTGCGAGCCTTCAGACGTGAGATCAAACGCCTGCAAGTCGAAGAAAGACGGAACAGGACATGTAAAGTCGTCTTAAGTGCTTCCTTGTGTGTCTCAGCTACCCCGAGCGAGGGCAGTAAAACGTGGGGCCGCTCCGCCGTGTGTAATAACAAGGACCTGGCGGCCAATAAGAAGAAAGGACGCACCTGGGGCCCGAGCTCCACCCACCAGAAGGAGCGGGTCGGAGGAGAGGACAAGTAAGAGCTGCTTCTGGCTGAGCTGGATCTGTAAATATAGAGAATATTATACATTATAGAAAGGCTGTATCAACCCGCTGATCTGTGTAAAGGTCGTCTAATTATTTAGATAGAGCTCTGTTCAGATTTTAATTGACTTAAAAAAAATAAACCTCAAAGTATTGTGAGAATTGTCAGTCTTGTAAAAATATCTGCAAGCATTTTATTGGTTTCATTGGGATTTTATGGGATAGACCAACATAAAATAGCACTTAATTAAGAAGTGGAAAGAAAAGATTGCATAACTTGTTTGTTGTCTTTTTTTTTTTTTACAAACAAAAATCTAAAAATTGCACCTTTTTACTATGAAACCCTTAAATAAAACTCCATCTGGGTGTAATTTAATCCCAGTATAAAATCCCACAAATTGCAGCCTATAATCCCTTCCTAAAGTATGACGCAGATTTTTTTTTTTCCTAAATACTTTCTTTTCACTTCAAATTTATGAGCTACTTTGTGTTTCTGTCACAAATGTGAAATAGAATCTCAGTGAAACTTCAATGTTTGAGTTTGCAGAGCGACAAATTGTGGAAAAGTTGTGTGAATGCTTCTAAGTCTCATACGGTTCTGCGCTCGCAGGCTGAAATCCCTCAGTGAGGGTAAGGTTTACTCATCCAGCGCACCAAACCTGGGGAAGTCCCCCAAACACGCTCCCACGAAGCCCGGCTTCTCCAGCCTCAAAGAGATGGGTGAGTCTCCGCCGGGACCGTCCGCCGGACGTCTCCTCTCTCGGTCTGACTCTCTCTCTCCTTCTGTGGACGACAGAGGAGTGCTCCGAGTTCGAGGAGTCGCCGGGGTCCTTGCTGCCGTCAGAGACCAGCAGCAACGGGGCCACGGACGACTGGGGCGGCTTGGGCCCCAACGCGGCGCCTCCGGTCGGCGGCGCGGGCCTCTGCCCGGCGTCCGGAGGCCTGTGGATGGGTGTCAGCAACCAGGACTCGGCTCGCCGCTGCAACCAGAGGAAGAAGAGCGACATGTTGATGCTGGGCTGCGCTTCTCTGCTGGCCTCTGTTGGTCTGGGGCAGGACCTCCTGCAGCTGGGCAAGCAGCAGGTGGGGCCCAAACCACCGAACGACCATCTGATCGTTCGGCCGTAGAGTGGCTTCTTATTTAGAGCTGAAACGATGAATCGATTGTTTAAATAATCATCAACTGTTTCAGTGGTCGATTAATCGTTAACTGCAGTCCACACTCAAAAAAAGGAGCTGGTTTTCTGAAAAGAACAACACAGTAATCGCAGTAATTGAGCCACATCTGCACAAAAAAATCGAGTTTGCGTTTAAGATAAAAAAATAAAAGCCCTTTAGTTTTAATAAGTTGTAGTCAAAACTCCTCAGTTTTAGCTTCACCTGATTTACTAAAAGAATGCAGTTATTTTTTTCTAGGCAATAAAATGTTTATTTTCTTACAAAAAAAGGAATTTATTTTTTTTACATGAATCATTTAAATGAGTCTGTGTAATGTACTATTTTTTATCCAATCGATCAACCGTCAGAATAATTGATAGATTAATTAGTGCCAGGCCTGATATTATTTACTTGTCACATATTTACTGATCGTCCACAGATTTTATTACTTATTATCTAATTTTAATACTTAATTTTATACTTCCTTCTGTTCTCTACGATTAAATTTAACACAGTGAGGTGTCTAAACTATGTTTATCCTAACAAAGATTTGGACTCGCAAATTAAAAGATCTGTTTGTTTGCCGCTTCAGGAGTTTTTGCTTGGATATATTTACAGATTTACATTTATATATACATTATACGTAAATGTAAAATGTGTAAATATATATTTGGTACAGTTTTGGCTTAAATACTGCTCTGAATGTTTTTTTGTTTCTTTTTCTCCAAAGGGCCTTTTTGGAGTCTGTATACTGCAGTTAATGATGAGTTCATTCCTGCATTAGTTGACGATTATTTCACTAGTCGATTAATCGCGATGAATCGTTTCAGCCCTGTGTTGTCATGTGAGCCGTGGTAGCAGCAGGTGAAGGTAGATTGTTTCTGTGAACCTTGATGTGGCTCCCAGATGCTTCAGGACGAGCAGGACCGAGAGGAGCAGCGGAAGAAGAAGGAGGGTCTCTTCCAGCGGACGGGCCGTTTCCGCCGCAGCACCTCCCCGCCCAGCAGAAACCTCTCGCTGACGCTCTCCAGACACCACGACTCCGGGCTCGCCTGCATGGACCCGTCCCCCTCCGTCACACTCCTGTCTCTGTCCTCCCTGTCTGACTGCAACTCCACCAAGTCCCTCCTTCCCTCGGACTCAGACGACTACCCTCTGACCCCGTCGGCGGGCGTCAAGACGCCCTCGGCGGCGGCGGCGGCGGCGGCGGCGTCTCCGGCTCCCGCCCTCAATCCGCTCCTGGACTTGCGGGCGGAGAGCTTCAAGAAGGAGCCCAACCAGTCGCTGACGCCGACCCACGTGTCGGCAGCGATGGCTCTCAACAGAGGACACAGACGGACGCCGTCGGACAGCGCCATCCGACCCCGAGCGCAGACTCTGGGACACCGCAGGACTCCGTCTGACGGCAGCATGCCGATGCCTCCTCATCCCGTCAACGCGGCATCTAAAGGTACGCAGAACTAACGCGGCACTCACTGCGGCTCCAGGTCTCTTCTGGACAAGACGTAGACGATATCGATGTCTACTCACGCTCTTGTGGCACAAACGGCGGAGAAAACAGTAAAAATAACATTTCTGTTCACACTGTCAGGCTGATTAGAAAGGCAATTATGTAACTGAAATTTATTATGACGGCAATAAATCAAAACATTTCTTATGATCAGAGATTTTTCACATTCAAAATCATAAATATGAACAGGGACAGTTCATTGCATGAGCTCCACTTATAGCTGTTATTGTGAATTTTCACTTCAAGTTGGGTTTCTAAAACAATCTAAGTGATAAGTAACTCCAGATCAAATTACTTTCTGCTACATAATGCAGTAAATGTGCATCATCGGTTCTGATGCAGTTATAGAAATAATATTCAGAGGGAAAAACTTGGAATAACACCTTCTATATACTGAAAAACACTAAATCTTTCCAAGGGTCGAGTTTCTCGTGCAAATACTTTTGTACACAATAAATAAGACAAAACTAACTTGCAAGTAACTTTTCAATAATTCCTTCATGATGGTGAAAAGTTTCCACTGGTACATTATTTACTTTATAACAAGACATTTTCCCCATATTTTCAGTGAGTTAATCCACCAGGTTTTTTCCCCTCAGTGACGAGTAAAACAGGCTCTTATTTCTTGCTGAAAAGTTACTTGTTTGGTTTGACACAACTTTGCTAAGATTCTTTGTTCCTGTAGTGCAGACATGACCCACGTTTATTTTCCTTTTCCTCTCAGGAACTCCAGACCGGCTGGACATCCCTCGCCTCCCGGACCCGTCCATGGTCCACCCCCACGTCCCCCACCGCCGTAAAGCCCCTCCCCCCCCGGTCCCCAGCCCGACCCCGCCCTTCCTCATCAGCCCCCTGGAGAGACCCAAGACCCTGGAGTTCGCCCCGCGACCGCGGCCCACCCCGGCCCGGATCAGGCCCGACCACAGGAAGCTGGGCTCCGTGTGCCGGACCCTGAGCTCGTCGCCGGGCAGCAGCTGCGACAGCCCCCTGGGCTCCGGGGACAGCAGCGCCGGCGCCACGCGGCCCAACCTGATGGACATGGACATGGAGGGCCAGAATCTGGACCCGACCGTTCCCCTTTGCGGACAGCTGCAGCCGGCCGCTCTGTGCGAACAGCAGTACTTGTAGTGACACGTTTTGAGGCTTCTGGGGCTCGGAAGTAAATCCCACTTCTGAAGATGTGGCACCGCTTGGTAACAGTCGCTCGTCTCCTGAAATGGCGCGAACCCTTCCAGCGTTCCTCGGCCTCTGCTCTGCGTGACGCCGAGGGCCCAGAGGCCTCTGAGAGCCCGGTACTGATCTCGTCCAGCCAAATGTCTTTCCAAAGCCATCAAAGCGTCTAAAAAAGCCACTTTTTAAAGGTACCAACGGTCATCTCAGTCCGCCTCCGAGTGCTGTTTCCTGTCTGTGTATCTACGCATTTCCATTCTCTTCATTCCTGTCCGCCGCCTGAACAAGACCAGGAAAACATCGCCTCATGTTCGTCGTCGTAGTCCAGAGCATGTTCGTTCTTCTTCTGCATGGTGGTCTTCATCCTCATCTCTCCAAACGTGAAAGGGGGAAAAAAAACCTTAGTGGACTGGTAACATGTGCATTGAAAAAAGTCTATTTCCTCCACCTTTTCGCAGTCGGGAGATTGTTTATCATTGATTTAAACATCCCGGTCTGCTTCTTCTGCCTCAAAGTCCAGACTGGCTGATGTCATCCAGAGCTGGCCACGCTTACTGGAACCCCTGGTGAAGATGATGAAGATAAAGTTGATAAAACAGTAAATTCATCTTTTCCTGCAGCAGCATAGCTATGTAAAGAAATAATTGTACTTTTAGAAAATCACAACTGTTAGAACCAGTTGAAAAATTAACAGCACTAGGAAAAATGAAGAGCCCACTTCACTGAACCCATTGAACACCTCCTGGTTATTCCACCGAATATTGATTTCTGAACTCTTCCCGAGTTAAAACATTGGTGTTATTGTTCATAAATGAGCATGAGCTTGTTTTCTTTGCAGTATTTGAAGTCTGAAAGCGCTGCGTCTCTTTTGTTATTTTCTGCAAATATTTTTATTTGGCGTTTCATATATATATATATAAAAGCTGCTGCTGTAGCATTTTTGCCAGGGGGATCTGCAAACGTCGCCAGTTCTTTTCCCACCGCATGCCGTCTCTCTCTGGGCTGCTCCACTCATTCCTCCTCTGTCCGTCGGCAGCATCGATCCCACTCATCCCAGCGATGCAGAACCGAAAACGCACACAGACCCCCCCACCCCCTCCCACCTCCGGTTCCAGCATCAGCCTCCCGCTCCTCTGACGTCGGCGGCACTTTAGGAGAAACTCTTTGCAGCTCGTCGGTGGAATCAAACCGACGGCGGTTGCTTTGGTGCGCCGGGCGGTTTATGGGCTGCAGACAGTATTTACTCGGTATTTATTTCTGTAGGTGAATACTGTGCGTGTGTTTGCGTGCGAGAGTGGATCCGTGCGACTGGTTTTCTCGGGATCGATGACAATCCCTTTGCTACAAGAGTGAGCCCAAACTCATTCTCCCTCTGTGCGGTTAAGAACACCGAGTATTTATT